TGCCTGTTGAAACTGATTCTGCATTTCTGGTCTTGAGAACTGTAAGAGAATAAATGTGTGTTGTGTTGTGGGTTTCTTTTTTTCCTGGCTTCTCCAATAGGGATAACGTGTGTTGTTTTAAGTCACTAGGTTTGTGGTGATTGGTTACAGCAGCCAAAGAAAACGAAGACACTGGCCAGGTGTGGTGGCTCATGCCTGTAATCCCAGCACTTTGGGAGGCTGAGGCAGGTGAATTACCTGAGGTCAGGAGTTCGACACCAGCCTGGCCAACATGGCGAAACCCTGTCTCTACAAAAAATACAAAAATTAGCCTGGTGTGGTGGGCACATCTGTAGTCCCAGCTACTCAGGAGGCTGAGGCAGGAGAATCGCTTGAACCCAGGAGGTGGTGGTTGCAGTTAGCTGAGATCGATCACGCCATTGTACTCCAGCCTGGGCGACAGAGAGAAACTCTGTCTCAAAAAAAAAAAAAAAAAAGAAAGAAAAAAAGAAAAGAAAATGAAGACACTTTGCCTTCTAGAAGAGCCTATTCCGCCTCCCAGACGGGGCCCCTCTTTGAGAGTCTCTCCTGTCCCCCACCCCTGTCAGTGGCCCACCCTGTTTTGTGCTCCTTGGGGATGCTTCCTGTGACCTCTGACCCTGGAGTGTGCCTCCATCATGACCTCCGTGCTCACCCTGACCTTGGGGCTCTTCTCTGGCACCCAGCATTGAACTCAGTAGGCTGGAGTCATCCTCTAGTTGCCCAAGGGCAGGCACCAGCTCTGGGGCAGCGTGGAGGAAAGTGAGGCTTGGAGACAGGCACTGAATGCCCAAGGTCAATCAGCTGGCAAGAGGCAGAGTTGGGGAACGTGTGGCCAAGAGATGGCCAGGGCATCCAATCCAAAGGGCTCGTGAGGAGAGAGGCCACACTGACTGCCCACTGCTTCTAGGTTCCAATCCCAGCACCCATCTGGGCCTGCATAAAATCGGACCATTCCTGATGGGCTCGGCTTTAGGAAAATCTGATAGCAAATTCCAAACCAATAAGAGCAAATAAATGAGGGGTGATTACCGACAATAAGAGAGTATACACTGCGGGATGCCTCCAAATCGCATCTCCTCCAGTACGTTTTAAGTGCTTTATAGGTCATTAACTACTTGACAGAGAGAGCCTGACACTTAAAGCAAAGAATTTGGCGCCTCTGCCAGGGAAAATCAATCAGAAATGAAGCTAGAGCACCAGTGGCGTTCAGATGTAGTGGGTGGGCCGATGGGATTCAATTTACACAGAATTTTAAGACCCTCTCCATTGTGTAAAGTAAGGCACACTGGTATTTGATGCCATTTATAAATCCCAAACTAGAATTTAGAGACACTTAACCTCTCCCCTGCCATTTGTGTGTGTGTGTGGATGTTAATGAAATATTTCAAAGACATAGAAAAGTACAGAGATGAGCTTAAGCATCTAAGTCCCTCTGTCAAATAAAACATTGCAGCTATGATTGAAGCACCCATTTTTTTTTTTTTTTTTTTTTTTTGAGATAGAGACTCACTCTGTTGTCCAGGCTGGAATGCAATGGTGCAATCTTGGCTTTCTGGAATCGCCACCTCCCAGGTTCAAGCAATTCTCCTGCCTCAGCCTCTCGAGTAACTGGGACTACAGGTGCATGCCACCATGCCTGGCTAATTTTTACTAGAGAACGCATACCACCCAGCCCCACCGATTTTTTTTTTTTGTATTTATAATAGAAATGGGGTTCCACCATGTTGGCCAGACTGGTGTTGAACTCCTGAGCTCAGGTAATCCATCTGCCTTGGCCTCCCAAAGTGCTGGGATTACAGACCTGAGTCACCCTGCCTGGCTGAAAGGTGCACCTTTAAAGAGTGGGTGCTTCAGAGGAGCACAGTGTCTCATGCCTGTGGTCCCAGCACTTTGGGAGGCCAAGGAGGGAAGATTACCTGAGGTCATGAGTTCAAGACCAGCCTGGCCAACATGGTGAAACCCCATTTCTATTAAAAATACAAAAAAATCGGTGGGGCATGGTGGCACATGCCTGTAGTCCCAGCTACTTGGGAGGCTGAGGCAGGAGAATCACTTGAACCAGGAGGTGGAGGTTGCAGTGAGCCAAGATAGTGCCACTGCACTCCAGTCTGGGTGACAGAATGAGACTCTGTTTCAGGAAAAAAAAAAAAAGTGAACCTGTTTTTTCTTCTGCTTTTTCAAATTCTTTCTGTCTTCTGGCTCTGCCTTGTCAGGGAGACCTAAGCTGACCACCCACCCCTGCCCAAGACATCACTCCGTCCTCTGAAATCAGAGTGCAATTACTGCCTCTTTAATTAACTTGGCAATTAATCACCAGCTGCTTATGAAACCGCTTCTATTGTCTGTCCATCTTGGGATGTGGGTGGGAGTAAGAACCAGGCCGGAAGAGGGAGGACGGGCGGGCAGGCAGGGCCCTCTTCTGGCACCAGGCTGGGCAGGGTCAGCTGAGAAGGCCTGATGTCCAGAGGGTCAGCTGCCTGCCAACTGTGTTTCAGCAGCTGCCAGGCACCAGGATCTGTGGAAGCCCAAGAGAACAGTGGGCAGCGATGGGGGCATCCACCTTGGGCAGCCTTGGGGCTTCTGCTCTTCCTGTTCTTTTCTAATCAAAATGTTCTTTCCTCATTGAGCCTTGTTGAATTGTGTCCCCCAAAAAGATATGTTGAAGTCCTGACCACCGATACCTGTGAATGTAACCTGATTGGGAACATAGGGTCTTTGCAGATGTCGTCATCTTAAGATGAGGTCATGCCCGATTAGGATGGGACCTAAATCTAATGACCAATGTCCCTGTAAGAATGCCATGTGAAGAGAGATGCAGGGAGAACTCATTCACCACACCATCAAGCCAGCTCCTCCTCTGCGGGTCTCAATCTGGCTGCCTATGGGAGACAGATCTCAGCATTTTTCTAGTTGATTAACCCTTCCCTGCCCAACTCCGGGAGTGGCTCCTACACCTTCCTTTGTCAGAGGAAGCCCTCTCCCCCATCCCATCTCATACACTATCTCTCAGTCAAAAGGATCTACTGGGTGGGGGTCCGAAGAATTCCCTCCCCCCCTCAGAGAACAGCATCCAGCATGTCAGTCTGCTTCATGATCCTCCCCAGGATTTCCGCAGGAAAATGCCCCCCAAACTGTCAGAGTGGGTAATGAAGCTTGGTTTGAGCAGACTGCTTCAAACTTCCCCTGCTATGGGGGCCCATGGAGAGGGGGGTGGATTCCCAGGAAGGGAAAGAGCCCAGCAGGTTGTCAGGAATTTAACATGGAAGCAGAGGCTGTGTCATTCATACTGCCAAGCACAGTGCTGGATATAGCATGTTCAAACATGTTCACTGAAGTAACACTTTTTTTTTTTTTTTGATACAGAGTTTCTGTCTTGTCGCCCAGGCTGGAGTGCCAGTGGGATGATCTCAGCTCACTACAACTTCTGCCTCCCTGGTTCAACTAATTCTCCTGCCCCAGACTCCTGAATAGCTGGGATTACAGATGCCCCCAATCATGCTCAGTTAATTTTTTTTTCTCTTTCTTTTTTTTTAAGACGGAATCTTACTCTGTCACCCAGGCTGGTGCAGTGGCATGATCTTGGCTCACTGCAACCTCCACCTCCTGGGTTCAAGCAATTCTCCTGACTCAGCCTCCTGAATAGCTGGGATTACAGGCATGTACCACCACACCTGGCTAAGTTTTGATTTTTAGTAGAGACGGTGTTTCACCATGTTGGTCAGACTGGTCTTGAACTCCTGACCTTGTGATCCACCCACCTTGGTCTCCCAAAATGCTGGGATTACAGACGTGAGCCACCATGCCCGGCCAATTTTTGTATTTTTTAGTAGAGACAGGGTTTCACCATGTTGGCCAGGCTGGTCTCAAACACCTGACTTCAGGTGATCCACCCACTTTGGCTTCCCAAAGTGCTGGGATTACAGGTGTGAGCCACCATCCCTTGCCGAAATAACACTTTTTTTTTTTTGTCACCCAGGCTGGAGTGCAAAAGGTGCAATCATAACACTGCAGCCTCCAACTCCTGGGCTCAAGTGATCCTCCCACCTCAGCCTCCCAAGTAGCTGGGACTACAGGTACATGCCACCACGCCCAGAAAACTTTTACTTTTTATTTTTTGGTAGAGACGGGGTTTCGTCATGTTGCCCAGGCTGGTCTCCAACTCCTGGACACAAGCGCTCCTCCCACCTTGGCCTCCCAAAGTGCAGGGATTACAGGCGTGAGCCACAGGGCCTGGCAGTAATAACCTATCTTCTAGCCTATCTTCTGCTCTAACACAATGCTCTTGATGGACGGGAAACTGAGCTCTGACACTGCACAGAGCATCGCTGTGTAGAGATCTGAGATCCAGTGATGCAAGCATGTCCCAGCATCAGCTCAATCATTCATTCCCAGGTGACCGAATTTCTCTGCACCTCGGTTTCCTCATCCTTGGGAGAGAAGAGTAATATCACCTCCTAGGGATGTTGCCAACATAAAAGATAGCTCTAAACACCTGGATGCATATTTTCCACTAATTGATTCCGCTAACGCGTTTCGAGCACGTACTGTGTGCCAGGCCCTGGGGAGACAGTGGTGAGCAGCACGAACCCCATGTTCCCATCTTCAGGTGCTGTTTGGTAGAGAAGGACAAGGAAATGCAGTTATCACTTGGTTGGTGTTATAATAGGGAGAACAGAAACAGAGAGGAAAAGGCCGCTTCAGGAAGGTCCGAAAGAGCAGCGGCCGCCACCGTAGGGAAAAGGTAAAGAATGAAATCCACAAACCCCCACCCTCAAGGCCAGAGTGCCTTCTTCGTCTCAGCCAATCAGACGTCAGCATTGCCGGCCGACCGACCAATCAGGAGCTGGAACAGGAGCCCCCAGTCTCAGGCCCGGTTTCCAGAAGGAGGGAGGCCGGAACAGGAGCGCCCCGCCCCGCCCCGACCACGCCCTGCCCGCCCCAGACCACGCCCCTCTCGCCTCGGCCCCGCCCCTGACCACGCCCCGCCGCGACCGGCCTGGTTCGCTTGGAGCCCCGTGGCCACCGGCCGGCCGCGGGGCCGTGTTGTCCTGAGGGCCAGAAAAAGGGAGGAGCGGGTGGAGGGACAGCCACGTGGCCGCAGGAGGATTTACAACATTTTCTTTCGCCATCGACGGTACCGTAAAATGTGTGAGAGAGGCTGCGGCGCAGCCAGGACTGGAGCGTGAGGGCGCGGGCCAGGTAAGCAGCCCGGGCGACTTCGCTGCGGAAGGGATGGGAGGCGACCGCGAGCACCAGCCACGGGCAGCGGCTCCGCGGGGTCTCGGCCGGGTCCGCACTCTGAAGGGTCTCGAGAGCCACGGGTGGTGCAGGCACGGCCCTCGAGCCGGGGCTGCCGAGGCGCTGTAGACCAGCACAGGTGGTCCCGCCGAGGCGCCTCCGAATCCGGGGGTGGTCGAGACGGATCCCCAAGGCCAAGGTCGGCAGTCCCGAGGACTTGCCGCTGGTGAGCCTGTGGAGACGCGGACCCGTGACCGAGGCAACCTCCAGCAACCCGGAGGCAGATGAGACCGTGTAGACGCGCGCTTGCGGTTGCACCGCGAGCAGGTGTAGACGCGGGCGGGTTCCGTACGCGGAAAGTTTTCCGGAGCGCGCTGAGCGGGCTGGCGGGGAGGAAGGGTCTGGGTGCAGGCGGAGCCGCGCCTCCGAGGGGCGAGGCGCACAGCTGGGGCGGGGACGGGTCCCACCTGTAGGGTCTCTGCCGCCTCCCAAGGCGGAAGCTCCTTGAGCGAACTCCAAACTCCAGTCTCAGAGGCTGAAATTCAGGTGCCCTCTTCCTCGGGAGCTGCAGAAGCTGCAGCTGAGGCGGGAGAGGGATTTGGGGCGACAGAGCGAGACCAGAGGGGTCTCATTTTGAGTCTTTTAGACGGGATCGCCAAGCGCCCACTCTGTCTCTGGCTCCGGGGAAGCCTGGGAAGCCTCCACCTCACTTGTGAGGAATCAGAGGGGCGGAGAGGCCAATTTGGCACCCGTCCCACGCTGGTGATCAGACCCAGGGACTCAAACCCCATTTGTCCTGGCTCCTCTTCTCCTTCCACTTCCGCCTCAGTGAAGAGAAAGGGTGCCAGCCATGGGGGTGGTGCACGTGAGACCTGGGGCTGGGGCGCAGGGAAGCCCTGGATTGAGACCCTCGGATCTGCTCGGAGTGGAGCCCACTCCCTCTCTGTGGCTCCCGGTGGCCCCGCAGCACTGGGTGAGGGAATGCACGGAGGAGGGAAGCTGGTGACAGAGAGTACTGGGCAGGGGGTGCTAGTGCCCACCTGCTTCGTGCCCAGGGGTGCGGTGCCTGGAGCGCAGCGGGTGGGGCAGTGTAGTTATGCGACACTTTCTCCTCTAGGGGAAGGAAGACCCCCTACCGCAGCCTCTGCCACAGGGAAAGGGCGGAAGTGTTTCCCTTGGCTGGAGGAGATATCCACGTTTCTAGGGCGGTTCAGCCTCATCTCCCATTACCCTCTGTCCCTTTGCCCCCGTTTCTACTCCCACATCCTCCTGTCCTGGGATTCTTCCCACTACAGGGCCTTCTGCACATGTCATTTATTCTTTTGATCAACAAATAGTCACAAATAGTTGCTAAAGACCAGCACAGGGGGTCCGGCACACCTACTATGCACCGGGCATGCGCAATTCAGCTGTGACTAAGGCCCCACCCCTGCCCTCACAGGGCTTCCAGACCAGGGCAGAGACATAGGTGAACAACAGACAGTCGAGAAGGGGACCAGGGGAGGGGAGGGGAGGCGACCTTAGGAGGAGATCAGAGAGGGACTCTGCAAGGGGGACAGTGAGTCAGAGCGATTAACACTCCCCATCCCTGGGGCCCCGGCACCATTGTCGCCTCCTCCAGGAAGTCTTCCCTGACCTCCCTGACTTGACAATTCCACTATGATGAACTCTCATAGTATGGGGACCACCCCCTTCATGGACACTTTTATGCCATTACATAAAAGTGTACATGGTCAATGTTTAGCTCCCCCTATCAATTGTAAGTGCCAGGAGGGCATGACTCAAATCTCTTCTGGGTGGATGGTAGGCAAAGTGAATAAAAGATGGGTAGGATTTCCCCAGAAAAACAAGAGCAGCTCAGCCAGGTCAAGCATCCACATGGCAGAAACTTTTCTTTCCCCTTCCCTGGCCCAAGTCCTGGGCTCCACACCCCATTTGCCGTTCACAGAAACAAAGTAAAAGAAACCAGCAGGCCTTGTGCAGGGATAAGGCCTGGCACGGCCTGGCCACTGCAGCGCCAAGGCTGGCTGGCTGGAGGGAGAGTGGACCAGCCAGGGGAGGCCCGGTGCAGGCGCTTGTCCTGTTCCCTGAGCTCAGACCTGCCTGCCCGGTCTTTCTTCTGTACCAGTTCTTGAAGACTTGTCTCCTTCAAATGCTGCTCTGGGAGAAGGTGGTGGCCGACAGGGCTCCCAGGGTAGCTGGGATACAGGACCACAGTGACTGCCTGTCCTCCCCCATCCTGGTGGGCAGGGCCCTGGGCAGCACCACTCTGACCGAGTCAGGTCTCCGGGCCAGCGATTGCCGCTTAGTTGACCCACGGCTCATTGAAACCTCAGCTGGAAAGTAGGAGCTTGGCTCAGGGGAACTGACTCTTTTTTTTTTGGCGTGGTTTCTGTATGTGGTGAATCCTCCCTTCCCTGGCTCCATCGGACCCGTGTGCCTGGCACCCTTCCTGGGGCAGATGAAGCCCTCATAGCTGCTTAACAAAGCTTCTCTCCAGTCTCCCACCCTGCCACTGCTCCACTTCAGGAGCTTTGAGTGGCCGCCACGCGAAGCTAGAGAGACAGTCAACCTGCTTTATTCAGGCTCTGGCGGGGATGGAATAAAGCAGCCTCCCCACCCACCCACCCAGCCAGCCAGCCTCCTGCCTGGATGGCTTTTAAAAAAATTAATTTGCAATGATTTACTCCCTTCTGTTCTGTGGGGATCAGCAGCATTTAAATATGTATTTAAATCAGATTCACAACTCAACTCCGAGTTAAATCTCACCTGCCTCCCCTACCCAGCAGAGAGAACACAGGATTCAGAATCAGGTGACTAGAAGTTCAGGCCAAGTTCTGCTAAGCATGAGCTGTGTGACCTTGGGCAAATTACTTGAGCTCTCTGTGCCTCCACTGGCTCCTCTGGAAACTGAGGTTAAGAATAATCCCTCCCTCACAGAGTGCAGCATGGATTAAATGAGATCAGTTCAGGGGAGCCCTGTGCAGTGCCAGACCTGTGTTTTCTGTTCCCTTGCACTGGCTGTCCTGCTAATTAGCCTGGTGACCCTGGGTAGGCCATTCAGCCACCCCTGGCTTCAGTGTCCTCATCTGTAAAGCCCGGGGGATTGTGGTAGGAGATGAGAGCACAAATGCCCCACCCTTAGCCCCCAGCTGCACCCCCACATCTTCCTGCCCTCTCCCCACTAGAGTGGATATTGTCCCCCTCAACCACTTCTTTCTTGTTATCTGAGCACTGGGTTTTAACTGGTGATGGCCCCACCCCAGCTCTCTCTCCTCCTGGCTCCCAGTGAAGTCTCAGGGTTGCAGCCCTGAGGGGCCTGCAGTTCCTGGCTTATTTTCAGGGGCAATTAGCTGTGATGTCACAAGCTTAGGAGGTGGCCTCCATGGGGCAGATGCTTAGCCAGGCCACCAGGAGGTCAGGACCCTGCTCCATCTGTGACCTGTGAGGCTCCCCAGGCTCCAGGGGTCCCCGTTGCCAGTCTCAGAGAGGCAGGGCTCCCAGGCAAAACCATTTCCATGTCTGCACTTGATGGCTCCTGCAGTCCCGTCTGCGTGTAAATGAGTTCTACCCTCTGCTTTTGTTGGCAACTGTCGGCTCCCTGGAAGCTAGCGGCTTTGTCAGGAAGAACAAAGCTGTGCGGTGTCTCTGATTTGGGGGGAAGCGTGCTCCTGGGGGAGGGCTCCGCGCTGCTCAGTGTGGGTCTCCAGCCCTGGTTCTCAGACTTGCTGGTTTTGTTTTGGGTTTTTAAGTCCTATGGCTTAAGAGTCACATATGTTTGTGTGTGTGTGTGTTGGCTGAGGGTTTTTTTTTCCTCCTTTTTGGCTTACATAGCGTATTCTGTGGAAGCTAATTCCAGGGACTGAACTTCTCACATCACTACTTCAACAGCTTTTAAAAATCTGGACCTAGTTACTCCTGTCATCCCTGTGTAAAGATTGAGAAAAAAAATCCCAAACCCAAGGGTGGGCAGCCGCGAGGATGTACAGCTCCTGGCAGTGTGCGCTCAACGGAGACCTGAGGTCGAAGCCCAAATGCTGAGCACCTTCTGGGAGGCGGGAGGATGGTCTGCTCCGTGCCAGACATCTGGATATTGAGAAAACATCTGGGTAGCTGGGGTTTTCAGGTTTCTGCCTGACGTTTAATATCACAAACATTGAGGCTGCTCCTGTCCCCCACCAGCTGCGCGGCTTCTCCTCCCAAACACACCCGGCCCCTTCCCCTGCCTTCCTTGGTAAGAAACATCCATTCTTTCCAATTCCCCAGCGTTTTCCCCCTACCGGAAATCTTATGGGCTTATGACATCATGGCTGGCTGCTGAGCGATGAAGTGGATGCCACAATGAAATCCGACATATCGGATGGATTCTGAAATCGGTTTCCCTCCAGCTATAGTAACAGGCATGAAGTCAGGAGAATCTGAGCTTTGTTTAAAAAAAAAAACACAATGAAGTCTTGCCCTGTATTAAATGTAATTTTCTTAAAAACAAGCAAACCTTTTGGACATCATTTTATTTTAATAGAAATGCTGAGTTTTATGAAACTAAAGTGGCTAATAAATCGGACCTGAAGCTTTGTGAGCATTCCGTTTCTGTTGAGTGTTTGTGTCCTTATTCACTAATAAAAGAGGAGCTAGGAATGGTTTATCTCTCTTCATTATTCAAATGAGATAGCTTTTTTTTTTAAGGCCAATAAAATTCACAGGGTAAATTGCTGGTTTATGTTTTTCCAGGAATCCATTTTTATGGAGCGACCCTGGACCTCACCGGTCTGTAGACACAGTACTCCCCTTTGCTGGTTTTCTTGGCTGGGGAGCCCTTAAGAGGATGCAGTAAAGCTTTTCAGCCTCCTGGCTGGGCTCAGGGGATGACTGGCTGTCAGTAGGGTGGAACAAGGACCCGTGGGCCAGGCATTTCTTGGGATGAAAAACCTCTTTGAAAGAAGAAGGTCAAGAGAGGGACAGAAGTAAAGGGACCTGGGGCTGGGTGTGGAGGCTCATGCCTATTGTCGCAGTGATTTGGGAGGCTGAGGAGGGTGGATCACTTGAGGTCAGGAATTCCAGACTAGCCTGGCCAACATGATGAAACCCCTACCAAAAATACAAAAAATTAGCCAGGATTGGTGGTAGATGCCTGTAATCCCAGCTATTCGGGAGGTTGAGGCAGGAGGGAGAGGTTCCAGTGAGCCGAGATCATGCCACTGCACTCCAGCCTGGTGAAAGAGCGAGACTCCATTTCAAAAATAAAAAGGGAGGGCTGGGCGAGGTGTCTCATGCCTGTAATCCCAGCACTTTGGGAGGCCGAGGCGGGCTGATCACGAGGTCAGGAGATCGAGACCATCCTGGCCAACATGGTGAAACGCCATCTCTACCAAAAATACAAAAATTAGCTGGGCATGGTGGCATGTGCCTGTAGACCCGGCTACTCAGGAGGCTGAGGCTGGAGAATTGCTTAAACCCAGAGACGGAGGTTGCAGTGAGCTGAGATCACACCACTGCACTCCAGCTTGGTGACAGAGCAAGACTCGGTCTGCAAAAAAAAAAAAAAAAAAGAAAGTAAAGGGACCTGGGACATGAGGCCTGGGAGGGGAAATTCATTTTCTTCCTCCTCAAAAGAGAGCAAAGATCTCAGAAATAACTCCAGGCTGAGGGGGGCCTCAGTATTTGCCTTGGAAGTAGGCTCGGGTGCAAGGAAGTACAAGATTCTGTGTGTTGTGCCTGCCAAGCACCCAGCATGAGGAAGTCCCAGACCTGGGCTGAGGACCCAGCTGCTCCAGGGGCAAGCTGCGGGGCCCTGGGCAAGTCACACCACCTTTCCGTTTCTTTCCCAGAAAGTGGGCACGATGACCCTCCCCCTGCCTGTTGGGAACAGTAGTGCTGCATGTGTCACACAATGCCCAGCCACCCTCAAAGGGCTCCGAGGCCATTCTCATAGCTGGGAGCAGCCAGTGTGGATTCTGGAGTTGAATCCCCAGCCCAGGCTTGCAGCTTGGCTCTGTCACGTGCTACCTGCAAGACGACATTGATCCCTGTGACATTCACTGTGCCTTGGTGTCCTCACTTGTCAAACAACAATAATAATAGGACCAGCCTCACACGCGAGGCTGCTGTGAGGATGAACAGCCTCAGAAGGCCTGGAATGACCAAGCATTAGCTGTATGAGTGCACCGGGGGCCCAGGAGGCGGGTTGCTGGCTAGGACCCCCTGGTCTAGGATGGGAGCAGGTGTACCAAGCCAAGCACAGGCAGCGGCTAATCAAGGACGGATGGGAACATCTACTCCTGACTCTGATCACCCAAAGAAAATGAAGCCCTTGCGTTTTCTGGGTCCCCAGGCCTCATGTGCTGTCCCTTTTCCCCGTGCTCTGTCCCTCTCCCAGGCAGCTTCGGATGCAATGCTAACAGGCAGGTGACGTTTATCGAGCACCTGCCTTCGTGTTGTTCCGTGCAGCTTCCATGGATTAATTCACTTGATCCCCACAAAAGCCCATGAAGGGGGACAGCTAGTGTCCTGTCAGCAGTGGAGGCCTCAGAGGTGAAGTGTCTGGGTCACAGTCCCAGAGCCCAGATTGAAACCAGGTTGGGCTCCTGCAGTGTCCACTTAACCTCGGCTCCCCTGGGCCTTCCTCCTCCACTTTCCGGCCTTCCCAGAACGCCCATCTCCATCTGCCAAGATTTCCACCACCTCGCCCAAGAGGCCTTCCCAGCTCGCCCTCCACAGGGCCACCCAAGAAATGCTGGTGGTGCCCCCGTGCATCTCAGGGTGTGGCTCTCTGTGATTGGGCCTGGGCCCCTTGTCCACCTCTCCTGGAAGTTGGGAGCTGGGCTGTGGCCAGCAATGTGTCCTGTGCAGGCCTGATGAGCAGGCGTTTACTGAAGACCTACCATGTGCAGGATGTGGGGACTCATATGGCAGGTGCCCACACCAGCCTGGACTTCTCTCCCAAAACCTAGACCTGTCCAGCCAATAGCTTGTGCCACCTTTCCACGTGGATGATCAGTGGGAAGGTCCACCTCAGCCAGTCACAAACCCCATCTCACGTCCGTCTTCCCTTCGCTTGCTCAGGCCAAAAGCCTTGGGATTATTCCTGACCCTTAGTTCCTCCTCTGTCTCATATCTCAGCAATCCACCTTCCTTCTACCTCCACTGCACCACTGGCACTGCCTGCCTGGATGGCACAGCAGCCTCCTCGTGGGTCTCCCTGACTCCTGCCCTCTGGAATTCATTCTTCACATGGTAGCGGCGTGGTCCTGTTGGAACTTTAGTCAGCTCCTGCACGCCTCTGCCCAGAGCCCTGCAATGACTCCCACTCATTCAGGATCAGGGGACACTGTCAGTGGCCCCAACTTGTTCCCTCTCAGACCTCGGCTCCTGCCCCCCAACTCGCTCTTGGATCTTGCTATTCCTCCAGTGTGCCATGTTCGGTCCTGCCCCAGGGCCTTTGCACACGCTGCTCCCTCTCCCGAGCATACTCTTTCCTCTGATATTTCCATCACTCCCACTTTCACTTCCCCCAGTGCTCTGATCAAATGTTATCTGTGGCTGGGCACCGTGGCTCATGCCTGTAATCCCAGCATTTTGGGAGATGTAGGTGGGATGACTGCTTGAGCCCAGGAGTTTGAGATCAGTCTGAGCGACATGGCAAGACCCCTTCTCTACAAAAATAAAAATCAGCTGGGCGTGGTGGTACATGCTTGGAGACCCAGCTACTCTGGAGGCTGAGGTGGGAGGATTACTTAAGCCCAGGAGATGGAGGCTGCAGTGAGCTCTGATGGTGCCACTGCTCTCCAACCTGGGTGACAGAGCAAGACCCTGTCTCTTTAAAAAAAAAAAAGTGACCTTCTCAGAGAGACCTTCCCTTATGCCCCTCCCCATCCTTTCCCCACCCCCCGCCTTTTATTTTTTTTGGGTCAAAGGCTCATTCTGTCGCCCAGGCTGGAGTGCAGTGGTGAGATCTCAGCTTACTGCAGCCTGTGTCTCCCAGATTAAAGTGATTCTCATGCCCCAGCCTCCTGAGTAGCTGGGATTACAGGTGCTCGCCACCATGCCTGGCTAATTTTTGTATTTTTTAGTAGAGACAAAGTTTCAACATGTTGGCCAGGCTGGCCTCAAACTCCTGACCTCAGGTGATCTGCCTGCCTCAGCCTCTCTAAGTGCTGGGATTACAGGTGTGAGCCACTGTGCCCGGCCCCTCCCCCATTCTTTGCTCTCGGTAGTGCCTGTGCCACTGGCCCTTGGCTTGGACATGTGCATATGTGTCACTAGAATGCCACCTGAGTCAGAGCACTGCCTGTCTTCCCACTGCTGTACCCCACATCCCCCACACAGGGCAGGTGCTCAATAAACATTTGCTGAATAAAAGGACAGCTGGATGGGTGCCATGCTGGGACAGCCGGTGTCAAGCACCTGGTCTGCTCCAGGTTCTGTGACGACATGTGTAAGCAAGCCCCCTGAGAGCCCTCATCTGGTGAAGGAGACAGACTCAGCTAGAAATACAAAGCAGGTAGAGTGGGGTGGCCTGTGGGAATGGACTCAGAAGAGGAGATGGTCCAGCCGATCAGAGGGAGCTTCCCCAAGGAGAGGGTATCGCCAGGTGAGCTGAAAGGTGAAGAGGAATTGGATGGGGAGGGGGCTCGGGTGGACAGTGTGCTCCAGGGGCTAAGGACAGGGTTGGGAGGACGGCAAGAGTAGGGGCCTTAAAGGTCAGTAAGACCCAGGTGGGCAGAGAGAGGGCACCCACTGTCACCCAGATCAGGGTTATGGAGTGGGCAAAGGCCTCAAGGTGGGATGTGTGTGGGGCTGGACTGGGGAAGGGCTTCAGTGCCAGGAGGAGCAGCAGAGGCCTGGGGTGGAATCTCAGCTCTCACTTTCCAGCTGTGTGATCCTGGACACATTGCTCCCCATCTCTGGGCCTCAGTTGCCCCATCGGTCAACTCCAGATCACGTACAGGCCTCCCCGATACCGTGCCCTGCCTCACGAAGAGGGAGAGACTTAAGCCTGCAGGGCTCCAGGGGAGAGAGAAGTCTGCCAGGAACAGCACAGTGAGCAAGGGTAACAGAACGTGCCAAGACGTGGCCAGGTGCACTAGCTCACGCCTATAAACCCAACACTTTGGGAGGCTGAGGCGGGGGAATCACCCGACGTCAGGAGTTCGAGACCAGCCTGGCCAACATGGTGAAACCCGGTGTCTACTAAAAATACAAAATTAGCTGGGCGTGGTGTCGGGCGCCTGTAATCCCAGCTACTTGGGAGGCTGAGGGAGGAGCATCGCTTGAATCCAGGAGGCAGAGATTGCCCTGAGCCGAGATTGCTCTCCAGCCTGGGCAACAAGAGTGAAACTCTGTCACACACAAAAATAAATAAATAAAAGAACATGCCGAGACGTAAGGCCCTTCTCCTGAGCTGCATTTCTCCAGCCCCTCCCTCAGTGCAGAGGCAGGGAAAACCGTGACGGGGTGGCCTGGCTGTCCCCAGCGGACAGCCAGGGGCGGGCTTGGCTCTGCACTTGAGGCGCCACTCCGATTTGGCCTCACACGCTGTATAACCCCACAGCCCTGGGAGACAGGACCTTTCTCCAAGCTGCAGACGCCA